ATTGTGAGGTGAAGTATTGTTGCTATTACGTACTAGTGCTATTATTGTTATTACTATTATTACCTGTCTTTTAGTTAATCTTCTATGCTCTCTCTCTCTCTCTCTCTCAATTCCCCAGTCGTGTCTCTCAACATTTATTTTTTATATCATCTTTCTATCCCCAATTCCCTTTCATCACTTTATTTTTATCCCATGCACTTTCATTTCTCTTTTTATTTCATTTTCTCTCTCCTCCCCTATCAATCTCCTTCTTCCTCCCTCTTCTATCTCAATGTCCCTCACCTCTCAAGATCCCCTCCCCTCCCCCCCCCGTCTTCTAACTTTAAAATGCCAGGAAAATTAATTCAAATGTCTCTCCTCTCCACCCTCCCCCCTCCCCATGAGGTGTGGTTGTTGATTGAGAAGTGAGGGGTGGAAAGATATGGGAAGGGGTAGGAAGGGGTGGGAGAGGGTGGAAGGGGGGAGGGGTTAAGGTTGTTGGTTGGGAAGGGGTATGTGGGAGGGGGGAAGGATGGGTGTAGGATGGGATGAGAAAGATAATATGGAGGAGGGATTTGTATTAATTTTAAATGTTAATAACGTAACCTAATCTAACATTAACTAATTTTTAACCTAACAAAATCGAACCCCTTAACTTTTTAACCATGATAGCACACCAAAACTACACTGTGCAAGTCACTCAGAAAAACTACCTATACAAAATTATGTTGAAGAAATACGACGCAACGGACGATGGATTTTGACAACCCTACCGAGACAAGAGGAGACGCAACGTTCATTCTGAAATTCATCGATCACCCCATAGTAGATAGTCTTTTTGTGTGTGTGTACGTATAACGGTATCCAAGTCGTAATAATTATTCACTGTGTTTTAAAAGTTGTACTTCCCGGACGTATTCCCACTCGAAAATATACAGTATCTGGGCGTGTCTATTTTCTTGATACATGGATACTTAATGTAGCCCTTCAGTATGAGTGACTTGGAAGACTGACTACCAACACTGGACAGGTGAAATATACATCAAGATCGTAAAGGTTCCGCCTCACTAGTGCCCCCCCCCCCCTTCACATTCTCAAAAAACGAATCGAAAATTGAAAACAAGTTGAGGTTTTGTCTTCCTTGTTTAGTCCATAATGCGTTGGCTTAAAGTCCTCGGGGATAATTACGAGTCTTGTCTCTCTCTGTTGACAGCTGATGGGATTGCGACGTCGAGTACATTTACATATTCGATAATTTTAAATAATTCCAGGGTCTTTATGCTAGGTAATTCCGCATAATTATTACCGCTGTACTGTACTAGACAACTGGCAATAATTAAAGATTTTAGATTCTGTATATTTACGATAATTTTCACTGTGTTGACAAATGACAATTATGTATTGTCAACCACATTTACACATTTGATAATTTCAGCTTATTTCATCAAAAGAATAACCACCCTAACACTAATTTAACCTAACCGAACCTACTGTAACCCTAATTTAACATAACTTAACATCCCCCAAATAGTGTTAGGGTAGTTTAATCTTCAGGTGAAATAAGATGCGGTTGAGATTCTTCAGGTGATCCTATTCTTATAAATGACACTTGCCGATAATTCCAGGTGGGTGAGAGTAATTAGGTCACATTCTCCAGGAGGAAGCTGTCTCAGTCAGTCAATCTGTCCTGTTGTGACTTGTTGACACTTGTGTTGTGGGTTTAGTACACTACAAGACCCTCAGTACTCATCACCTCCACCACTAACATCACCACATCATCACCTGCTACCACCACTACTACTACCACCATCACCTGCTATCACCCTCAGTCTCAGTTCACCCTTACCCTCCTCTCCTTGGCCCTAAGTGAGACCATACCCTCCTCTCCTTGGCCCCTAAGTGAGACCATGCCACTCTCCTTATTTCATTGAGACCCTTACCTCCTCTCCTTGGCCCTAAGTGAGACCATGCCTCCTCTCCTTGGCCCTAAGTGAGACCATACCCTCCTCTCCTTGGCCTTAATTGAGCTCTGAACCCATCCCCTTAGCCCTAAGTGAGCTCTTAACCCTTCCCCTTGGCCCTAAACAAGCCCCTACCCCTACTATTTAGCCCCAGGTGAGGTCTCCCTACACATCAGATGGTCTGGGAGGACGGGCAGGTGAAAGTTGGTGCCTCACGCCCCTCTAGTTGTTGTTGTTGGTGACTGTGTGTGTGTCTGTGTAATGTTTGTAGCTGTTTTCTGTCATGTTGACTGATGTTTGTGACTTGACCAAAGAAACATGATTTAAGTTACCTTTACACACACATCAACTATTATTTCAGTTCCTATCTCTACCAACAAATCTAACTGATACACATAAGTTACGACACAACTGTGGTTTATCAAAAGATCTTAAGTTATACCTAGTACAGCATGTGGGAAATATAAAAAAAAAAAGTATCTAGATTGGTGTTACGCAAAAGTTTAAATACACTATATTTTATGTCATAAGAACTAAACTGGAACTCTCTCTACCTTAACCCACCCTGGTAAGGACACGGCCGCCTGCTCATGGATTCAACCTTGTGTGTTCTTCTGACGTCACTCCAATACCACAGATTTTTTGGGGGGAATAATTTAGGGTATTTTATTTTATTTTATTTTATCCTTTTCTCTATCTTACATTAAATATAACTCAGGAAATATACTGTCAATTTATGTACAAAAATTTCTATGCTCATTTGATAGGTATTAATTTTTCGTGTCGGTACAAATTCCGTATTTTTCGGTAGTACAGCACTGTACAGTATATAAATTCTGTATATTTTGTATTTTTCATATCAATAAAAGACTTTTGGAATGGTCACATTATATTGGGTACAGTATTTACAAAGCATGTACTACTGTATTACTCCCTCATAGTACAGTACAACTAAATGTACAACTGTAAGTGATGTTTTTGTAACTCTTTGTACCATTTTACTTCCTAATACAGGTAATTTGTATTAAGTTTGCTAATTAACCTACAAGCCATGTTAAATTTTAATTACCCTCCAGACCAAGTTGAATGTTAATTACAGTTGTCGTTACACTTTACCCGGGATGTTTCTCTTTAAAACATTGTTACATAAATACTCTTGTATATCATACATGGTTCTACATATATACACATTCATAATACATATACACTCATTTATGATACATACACACACTAACAGGATACACATTATATATATATACGATAAGAGATAATTATACACACACAGGTTAAACAAATATACACTTTACATATGCATACACAGGCAACAGCAAGATACAGATGGACTTGAGATACATAAAGGTAAGCCAGACAGAGAGATACACACACACACACACTCAATCAATCATGCTAACAATATACAAGACACTCGTACAACTTGTGCAACCTTTCTCCTCACCTCACCTCTCACTCACCCACACTTCAACAACAACCACGGTAAAGTCCTCCTCTTAAAAACACACACACACACACACACACACACACACACACACACACAGTCTAATCCTATAATCACATCTCAGTTATGTATGTGGTTTGTGCTAGGTTTTCAAGACCCAAATTTTGTCAGTATAAAGTTCTCACTCCTGACATCTTGGTTAGTGTGTGTGTGTGACTTAACTTTTACTGTACAGGTGTATAATTATCTTATTATTATTATTATTTTATTCATACAGTACTATTATCCTTACCTTATTATTACTACATTTGTTTTATTAACGAGAAGAGAGCAGATAAACTCTTTGTCTGGTCTTAATTATTTACATTGTGTTCAAATTTCAAGGTTTTGGTAAAAGTCATCAGTTTCTGTTGAACATTCACTATTAAGTTCCTAATACACCTGAGTGAATTACCCAAAAACTCATCACTAAACTTAACAAACAAATAATTTTAAATATTCAGGTTATTAAAGGACAGTATCTGCATAACACATGTTTAAATTTTCACACGAGATGCGGTTTGAATATTATATATATCCTAAACTGTACTATACTCTTTTATATAAACTGAATATATATATATATATATTTTTTATGGATAACCTGGTAAAAGATGAGACAAATGTCACTGTCAGATCTATACACCCAGGTGCCTCCTTGCCAAGTGTAGCCAAGATCCACTAAATATTGAATATGTAGATCTCATTACCTATAAATCTTACATTTCTGGGCCCTTGACAACCCTGCCCTGCTATTTTGCATCTGGAGTAATGACAGCCTCCTCCCCCACCCCATATATATATATATATATATATATATATATATATATATATATATATATATATATATATATATATATACTGTACTGTACTTAAATAAAATCAAAGACGATCTCATCAGTGCTGATTGTTGGTGTAAAATTGTCAGGGATCACAACTGTATTTGCCAGAGTCCCAAAGTCTGACATTAATAACTTATTAATGCACAGTGTGTGTGTTGCTTGGCCCTTCCCACAGTCACTCACTTAACTCTGAATAGTTATCTTTCGAACATAAAATGTTGTATGACCATTTTTTACACATACAATTTGTGTTAGAAGCCTGTATGAAGTGTTGCCCGCATGAAGTGCTGCCCCTGTAAAGTGTTGCCCCTGTGAAGTGTTGCCCACGTGAAGTGTTGAATAATGTTTTCTTTTTTTTCTCATCAATTTAGTAACCCCTTCTAAGACTACACCTTATATTCCTCCCACTTGACAGGGTTAAAGTGGGGGTAAACAACCTTTTCTTGAGTGATGGCCAACTGGGAACATCACAAGATCCCCATTTCAAACAAACACTGTACAGTACTTAAGAGAGAACGACTGACAGTGTATGAAGACAAGGCTGTGCTCCTAACACTCTGGTCACTGTAAGCAGTACAGTATAGTTGAGGGAAAATTATTACAAGACTGCGGTGGTGGTGTGGGGTCGGGTGGGATGGGATGGAGTGGGATGGGGTATGGCAGGGTGGGGTGGGGTGGAGTGAGCAGGGGAACAAGAGGATCTCCCCATTTTATAAATCTCACCTTGATCCTAATGTCCTTTTGCTGACAAGTGCGAAGGACGGCCAGAGGTCCAGTCATCTCCTCCATGCGAGTGAGAACGTTCCGAAGCCGCTTGCGACCACGACCTCTTATAGGCGCTGGAATAAAAGTAATTTCTTATGCTTTAAATGTTTTTTTTTATTTTTTGTTTTTTATAATCACAGTTTCACCACCATTAACAAACCTGGTGTTATGAATCAGTGTTAAAATTACTTGTGTCATTATTAACCACAATTTTACAGTCTTCTTGTGTTACCTGCCATAGCATTATTAAATTACCTTTGAGAATGAGGTGTTCAGAGCACTTAAAAGCATTATAAAAAAGGTTAAATGTACCAAAATGTTGTCATACTAATAATACTTTCCCTCTTTATTTCAGGTAAGACTGATTCCCCAAAACCTCAGGATATGTAGGTATAGTACTGTGATTTACACTTTGTTTTAGCCTACCAACTCTTTCCTGAGTATTCTCTAACAGACCCTCACAACATCGCCACCATTATATAGGTAAATAACTAAATATATTGTTGCGTTTATTCCACTGTAACTTTTTATAGTAATGTATTGTTATTTTCCTTTATGGTGAAATAACATTGCTCAGTACCAAGAGTGGGCTTTAAACACAAGGTAAAACTGTAATTAGAAACATGGTATTGTGATACATTGGGTACACTTAAAACAGTTCAAGGTAAGATGACCATTACAAGAAATAATTAGTGTCAGGTTTACCTTGGTCAGGTGTGAAGTGCCTCCCTGCAGGAATCTGGCGTGCCGCTGACTTGGGGATGCCTCCAGGGCCCAATACCTGTCAGGGGTAGGCAAGGGTCGGGCCGGGATGAAGCACTGTGTGTGTGTGTGTGTGTGTGTTTTGTTGTTTGTTGTGGTAGAGGCAGTGTCATGAGAAGTTGACAGTTTAACCCCTTGAGTACGATGGTGTTAACCCACTGAGTACAAGGACCTTACATTCATCGTACTCAAAGGGTTAGAACTAGTGTCAATATACTTAAAGGTTGTCATCGTACTTAAGGAGTTAAAAGCATCGTACTCAAAGGGTTACTGATACGGTAGCCAAGGTGTTAAAGTAATCATACTCAAAGGGTTAATGTAACTCAAAAGTCTCTGTAACAATTAGGTGACAAGGTTTCTCAGTTTGTAATGTGGGTAGGGTTATTTTGCCATCTGGTATTCACCCATTTAAAGAATATACTGTATCACAGGCTAAATAACCAGTACATACCATTACAGTTTGAGAGAGAAAACTTTATGGTGCAAAAAAAGAAAAAAAAAAGCTGTATTTTATAATTGGTTCACTATTATTAGATTTTATTTTTATTTTTGTTATTAATTCTTTTACCTTGTGCGTGAAAACAACGTATTGTATCGGTGAATAATTCTTCCTTTAATGAACAGTGTATACGTGTGAACATTCTCGTACAGTATCAGCGTAACAAAAGAACGTAGCTGCTATAAACACGTCGGACTTATTCGTAAAAACCTCAATATCATCGTGTGTGTGATCGCTAATGTCAAGGTTGTAGCTCATGGCCTCTCCAGGAAAAAAAAAAGAACGATAAATTACATATCACCATAAGAGGCGTAGAAAGTTTAAGCGAGTGTTGTACGCTTGATTACACTGCGCTTCAATGCACTGTTAGCTATCAGGGACGACTGTATGATACAATGTACAGTATGGCATGTCTTTGAAGAGTCTTGTGGAAGTTGTAGTGTGTGTGTGTGTGTACAAAGAATTATTACCAGTACTTTTACAATAAAACCAAATTCGTTGTCGTGGATATATTTAATTTTGTGCCGTAAAGAAGTGCATCACGTGTTCTTCCTATAATTAAGATCAATCCTCAATAAATTTTAAAGTTGCTTCCAAGACTAAAGATTACTGGGCTTGTGTAAATAATTCACAATAAATAAGACAAAGCGTAATACTGTACTGCATAATGACACACAGTTACATATCTGGGTTAGCGTTTAACTTATAATTAAAGTCAATCTATTTATTTGTAATTTGAAACCTATTGAGAAATTATCAATTCATCATGTGTCCAGTATGTTATTAAACTGAATCTTTTATTACATCATAACAATTATCAGAAATTTAACAGAGTTCGCCTACTGGCACATTGAGACAAAACCGACATCATTACATTAATGGCGACACTGACTATGATACGATGCCATCAGTGCCATGACCTCTGCATTAGCTGACATCAATATTGTCTCACAGGAAAGCTAAAAATAAGATTTTTTTTTTTTTTTTACTTTTTGTGGTTTTTGTTACTGAATAGAATTTTGAGATTCATATGAGACACACACAACTACTGATGACAAGAAATTCACTCAAAAACATGAATGACTTCTTTAATTCTTGACCAAACAATAAGAGATAGTATAGGCTAAATCAACAAGAGCTTTAGTTCAAATAAATCAACACAGATATAACTTACGAGTACATTTATGGTTGTTACCGCCTTAATCTTCAAATTCCCAAAGAAGGTAAAAGTTATGATAAGAAATTTCAATTCATAAAAACAGGTTGAGAAAATTTAAAATGAAAACTAATATTAAGTGAATCTTTTCTTTTTCCCTTTTTTTTATTGGAGGAAAAGTGTTAGCTACTAAAATAGGTGTTTAGCTACAGTGTGAGTTGTACCAAGGTGCAGTATCATATCCGTGTGAATATTGAAGAATTGTATCGCCAGCATCTTAGAGATAAGTTAGACATAAGCTATGCAGAGGCACAGAGATAGAAATTAAACCTCACAGTACTGTATAGAAAGTTAGACTCTGAAGAAACAGGAGGAATAACTGTACCAACTGACCTACACACTCTAGTACAGAAGAGGCTGCAGATTGAAATAATTTATTCAAGAGAAACAATAAAAGATTCAAATAAAGTCAGATATAATAACTACAAACTAAACTTCACCATTCAGTAAACTGTACAGTACAGTATAAGAAAGTTTAGAGATTGAACAAGTCAGATACAGGATAGAACAAATGCCAACTAGCTACCTGTAGAGTCCACAAGATAGTAAAAGTTAAGAGGCAAAGTTAGTCAACTGAAACAAAGCCAGTTATAACACCTGAACAGTGCAGTATACAGTATAAGCTTTACCTTAAAACACAAGCAAAGTAAAACAGTAATATAGAAAATATAAGTTACAGTAGTAGAGAAAGTAACACAAGTGTTGGAAGATGGTGGGCAGAGGCAGCCAGACCCTGACAGGTCATTGTTTGTCTAAATAATCTCTTTAGTAAGTCTTTATGATGGAGGGATACTTTTATTGATAATAATACACAGGATGACTTATGAGTGTAAAATACTGTAATACAAAAGTAGCTAAGATCTCAACTCTTAAGATTTTAAATATTCTTGATAAAATGCTTTATAAGACCTTATTGATTTCACAATAAATAAAGTTTACAATAAATATAATTTAAGTTGGATATATATGAAAGGGAAAAGACTCCCATTTTAAGTTTGCCACCTTAGTATTCATTAGTTGTGAAACACAGAACCAAATCCAGTCCCAAAGGAATCATTGATTTCAACAGACATTAACCTCAGAGTGATTCATTCCTGCTAATATCACACATTTTGATTTTATTCACCAAAGTCAGAAGACACAGAGACACACACAGCCTCTATATCATTCTTATCTTGCTCCAGCACTGGACATCCATTGCATAATGACAAATGTTTCAATGAAAATAAAAAAGAGAATACACTATTGTATTAAGGTGACAACCCTAAAATAGAGTTCCGTGGTTGACCTCTTCTAAATCTTTACCAAATACTGTAGTACTGTATTGGTAATCTTGTATTTAATGGTCATAAAACTATATGGGAGATGTATCTAAATAAATTACTAAAACATGTATTAAAGAATTGTATCCATTTTAGTCATTTATTAAGTAAACATCTCCCATATAGTTCTATGATCATTAAATATAAACATATACTTTACTTTTCTTTTCAGTAGACAAAATACATTGTACATTTAGCAAATACTCTTGTGTTCAATCATCCAACTCTTAACACTATCAATATTGTCAGCTGTAGCAAGACTAGATCAGTTGTCTAACACTATCTGTTGGTATTGAGTATCCCAGCATGTCTTTAATAATGTTACACATACCAAACCAGATCTCAATTAATTATAAAAACCTATGGTAAATTTGCATAAGTGAGCCCAACTCAATTCCTTAATTAAAACACGATTTTTGCATAGTTCATTCTATTCTAAGACACATTTCCTCTCTGGCATTTCCGTCGGAAATTTAGATTTTTCGAGTATTTTAATCGATAAAATTACCAACAATATTACAGTACTGTACTTGTTTAAAGTGGGGGTAAATGTGGGGTAAAATACTAAACATAACTATGAAAACCTGACCCAACGTTTACTAACTTGTAAAAATGTTAAGAATCACTTTTTTAAGAGTTTATGAATCCCTCATCTGAACACCAAAAACAGAAAACATCACCTACTAAACACCGAAAGCATGAATAAGGTAAACTTTCTTAGTTTCAGGATTATTAAAGGTTAGGAAACGTTAGGTAAGGTTTCCAAAGGTTTGTTTGGTGTTATTTTTAGTATTTTACCCCACATTTTCCCTCTACTTCAAAGCCCTGCCCACTTTAAACAAGTAATATCATTGGTAATTTACCAAAACTATATAAACTGTAAAGTCATTGTGTTAATTTGGTTAGTTTTTGCGTGTTATTATTAATGATGTATTGTGTGGCTACATCCTTGCATATTCATTTCATTCTTCTATCAGCAACCATCTACCACTGTTAATATCCAGTAATCAACAGGTTCAGCTAACTCGATTATTGAATTTATTAACAGATTCACCCAACCACCAGTACACAGCACAGCTAAACTTATCCGTACTACAGTATTGTGTAGTCGAGATCGATGGTTCTAGCGGTACACACACACACACTTACACCGGGAATATCTCGCACAACATTGAAGTTATGGCTGTGTACTGCTGTTCTGAAGCTGTTGAGATCTTCATACTCCTGGGCATCCGGGTCTGGGACTTGTACATCGGAAAAGGACAGAGCTTTATTGGGATCGAAGGTTGTAGACTTAAAGTTAAGCTCATCACTCGGCCCCGCCATGTTTACACTGAGGTGGCGCCGCTGTGGTGGCCAGGTGCTGCAACACGCGGCGCCCAGTTCAAACCTTGGAAATGGGAATCACCTGATAATTAGCCCCCCTAGTTTATTTCACCTTAAGATTAACGACTCTAACATTATCTCTAACAACCCCAGGTGTTTAATCATTGGGTGAAATAAACGGGCGAGGGCTATTCTGTCAGTAATCCGGATAATATTAATTTATATATAAGCGTTATTTCTATTATATTTTATTTCTGCCTTGCCTCGCATTTATATATTCATTTAACCTATAAAACTATGTTGTTGTTTTTTTGTTCCGATAAAACTTGGGTTGGATTACATTACAAAGGTCATGTGTTCTGGCCGCTTCCGTTTATCAATAACACATCAAACTCAGCAATCATTCCACCAGGCCCATATTTTAATACCACATTCCCGGAGATTAATATATCCAGTTAACGTTTAAATAAGAATAGAACCATATAAGAGATTAATTGAGTCACCCAATAGAAATAACATAAAAACACTGGTGGTAAATGAGTAACTTTAGTTCAGTTACCCATTAAAAATGTGGTTTTACGGAATAATGAACACATTTTAAGAGTGTCTATTCTATATTAATCCTATTACAATTGGCGTTCAGAATAAGGGGCAGGGCGGCGTCTGATATACCAATTTAGGATGAGGTGGCGGAAGTTTTGGTCGCGGCTGCCTGACCCTGACACGCTGCCCTGATACGTGTTAACCTTCGTCAGGGCTTACTTCCTTTCGCTGTCTCCCTCCCTGTTTTTGTTATCGGTGTTATTATTGACTTGTATTATTATTAGTAGTAGGAGTAGTATTGTTTTATTATTATTATTATTATTAGTAGTAGTAGTAGTAGTAGTAGTAGTGATAGTAGTAGTTTCTGTTTTGTTAAATTTACTGAAGCTTTTTTTTAGGTTGTGGAGAGTTTGCATTTAATGATAATTTGAATATTTTGATTGAGTACAGTACCTAATACTCTCTCTCTCTCTCTCTCTCTCTCTCTCTCTCTCTCTCTCTCTCTCATCGTAATTGACTATACCTGTCAACTTAAACCTTAATTAAGTGGAGCCGGAATGAGCTCACTGCTTAATTATGCACGTGTTTAATTCACCTTAATTACCCTTACCTGAGTTGACTACCTGTGTTGGTGATTACGTATGTGTAGGGGGGAGGAGGGGGAGAGTATGTATGTATGTATGTAAGTGTATGTGTGCGTATGTAAGTGTGTGTGTGTGTAGGAATGAATATGAGTGTAACTGTATATGTGTTTAAGCTAAGTCTTTCAATACGGTCTTTTTTTTAAACACATGTTAGTTAAAATATGTGTAGTTTAAATGAAAGTAATATGTGCCCCGTGTAATAATATCAATATGTGTCAGATTATCGCCAAATGTCTGTCAAATTCTGTCTAATGTCTACCAAATGCTGCCTAATAGCTGTCACTTATTTAATGTCTCAAAATAATGATATCATGAGAATTAGAAATGAAAATAAAGGAATAATTGTGAAAAAGACTGGAAAATAACAGCGGGCGTCTCCCTTCATACACTACCTGTAGGCTTAACAGGAACCCTTACTATGTTGAAATTTACAGGTAATAAATGCGGGTTTTATTATTTACAAGTTTTTCATGTTTTTATAGTTTATTTTATTTATTTTGTTTATATTTTTTAATAAGTTTATTTATTTATAGAATTTGTGTATATATTTTAATTTAACTTTATTAATTAACTTATCTTTTGATACATTTGCAAAGTTTCATAAGTTAAATTTTTTATATTATGATTTTTTTTTTTCGTTTGAGATTTTATATTCACTTTTATTTAATGATTTTTTTTATATAATTGCATAGTCTCCCCTCCTCCCCTCCTTCCCCCCACAGCTTATTGTTCATATTAATTTTACCATTTTCTCTACTCGGTAACTCAATTATTCTCGTTTTTGTGACCGGAATTATACAACGAAGGCCATTGGGGAAATGTCACATGTTGCCTGTTTTAGGAATATATTTAATATTTTCCAACTTTATTAAGTTTTTAATAGTCGTAGTATTGCGTCTTGATTATTGAAAATGGAATTTTTATTTATTTATTTCTATTTTCTATAACGTTCCTGTAATTTCATAAATATAAGATACTTTATAGGTAGCTTGAATATGTTTTGGGGGGCAGTGGTCGCCAACCCTCAGACATAGAGATGAAATTTTGATTAATACATATAAGTGAATTTAGTGGGAGAAACACGACTACACCTGTAACCTAACCGAACCGAACTTAACCTAACCGAACCGAACTTGAGGTAGATGTTGGGTACGTATCCCTTGTCTCTTATAAGCTACCACACAAAGATAGAATCACAAAAGTTCCTAGGCTGAGTTTTCCTTCTAATTGGGTGTATGATAATATAAATGAAAATAATAATGTTAAGTAATATCGTATAATATAAAGGTTCTCTTCATCTAATGTTTTAAATTGGATAATAACACGAAGGAAAATTTTTTTTGTAGTGACCGTGAGTAAACATTAGATGTGGCAGCGTGAGAAAGGCTTTGTTGTTAAATACGTTTCATACATACAAACAGACATACATCGATACATACACAGGTAACCACACAGTCGTACACACACGCATTTGTGAGAAGGTTCACACTGTCTTGGCGCGGTCAGTTGCCCCTGTCTGTCTCCGAATGCCTTTCTAAGAAAATAAAAAACGAAAATTATATATATATCCATTAACTTAACACTAACTCTTACATAATAATTCTATAAACTTTAACTGGAATTAACTATGAACTCGGGAATATTAGATATAAGTTTGTAAAAGAAGAAGTGCATATTTTTTTAAAGAAGCTGAAGTCAGAGTCTCTTTAAAGGATCGGGACGAGGCGGGTTAACGTCCCAGGATTCACGCGCGTCTTTTAATATTTTTATTTCCAGTGTAAACGAATTACTTCTTTAATGACGACAATGATGATACACATATTGATAATGATAATAACGGCAATAATGATAACAGTAATAATAAGTATAATAACGGCAATAATAATGATAATAACGGCAGTATTGATGATAACGGTAATAAGAATGATAATAACGGTAATAATGGTAATAACGGCAATAATAATGATAATAACGGTAATAATAATAATAATAATGTTAATTACACCTTGATTTAACCTTTGTGATGTGAGAATAATGTTGACTTAGTACAAGTCATACCCATCTCGTGAACGCCAAGGTCATACCCATCTCGTGAACGCCAAGGTCATACCCATCTCGTAAGCGCCAGGGTCATGTGAACGCCAAGGTCATACCCATCTCGTGAACGCCAGGGTCGCCAGTCATGTGAACGCCAGGAAGGTTTCTAGTAGCTTATAGAAGAGACTGTGGCAGGTTTCTCAGTTGTGTTCGAGGATAGAAACCGGTTAAAGGAATATTGGAAGTTAATGATCTATTTATGAAGATCTTAAAAGTGCAGGTATCAGGAAATGACGCTGTTTAGTGACATATTGGCTCTCTCTCTCTCTCTCTCTCTCTCTCTCTCTCTCTCTCTCTCTCTCTCTCTCTCTCTCTCTTTCTCTCTCTCTCTCTCTCTCTCTTTTTTTACAGTACCACGTTTTAGGTATTTATAGTAATTATTTTAATCTTTGTCGAAGTTATTTTATTTAAAGGTAACGCTTGAGAGATTTCGTGTTTGTTTTTTTTATCTGGTAGAATCCATTTGCAAAAGTTCGTAAGCAAATATTGATTCTTTTATCCCACTGAGAGTTTACCATTAATGTTATTTTTATTTTTATTTTGTTTTACAGTACAATGTGTTGTTTGTGTTCCAAATACCGAGCATAGACAAGGGTGCGGGGTATTTATTGTTTCACGAACCTGGTAATTTGCCTGTCCGAGCCGATGAAATTTCTCGACGTTGATGTGAGGAAGACCTGTATTTTGGTGTGGAGTTTGGGTGAATTATTTATAACTTACAAAATCCCATTCCTGGTAGACTTTGAGGATACGTGTGGAAGAATATTGAGAATATTACCCTTCACTTTCACTCAGCTGTCGTGATATTACACCCGCTGATTTATTTTGCTTTTGTTTTCGTATAATAAAAGAGGTTAATTGTGTACGATCTTGAGTGAAAAGTGTGTTATCGTTGAGTGAAAGTATGTGGAGTGTGTTGGTAGAGCTAGTGTTTGTACTAGGGTGAGGCGAGAGGCAGGCAGTGTTATTGGGGATTTGGGCTGGAAAGTTACGTACAACGCCATCTATATCTTGTGTTTGTTGTATTGTTTATCTTGGGTTCATGATACTGATGCCGACGTCAGTGCTTAAATAGCAACATTGCAGAAGTAAGTTGATTGAAATGATAATTGTGCGTCGATATGTTGTGATTGGTCTTAAAAATGTAATTTTATTAATACACTTCAACAACAAAAGGTCTTTAAGCGTGTAACAATGTTCGTAATATGTTAGTCCAATAACATTAAACAAGTATAAGCGATAGAACTTTCTGATTTAGACAAGAAAATTTTAGTAAACATGTGAAAGTTCCGGAATTGAACTGCTTGGGATTTTTTGGCAAGTTTATCCCCGTTGAATGCTTACTGTAAATTATAAATTATTCTGACATACACAGATCCATGGGCAGGTGTGGGTGCTAGTCGACCATTTTAAAGCTTTACTAAATAAACACTCACGAGAAAAACTTCCTCCGAGAACGTCTGAGTGTCTCCCCAACCGATAGAGTACACAGCTTACTCCCGTCTATAAAATGTACTCACACACACACAACTACGTCTTCAGTGCTGTACAGAGTGAAAAAAAAAACCCAACCACGTCGAAGGTGAACCACGTGTGAATGAGTATTAACACATACTTACTGAAGACGTGGGGTGAAAGGGTGTGGGTGCAGATTGTCTTATAAACATCAATAAAAACACATAATTTGGATATCCTGTTTATATATTTAGTGTAATG